ATTTCCAAGGAAGTGAAAGCAATTTCATTCTGGTTAGAGACTGAGTGAGTGAGAGAGAGTGAGAGCGAGTGTGTGTGTTGTGGGGGGAGGTGAGTGGTGGAGTTTCAGCTGGGAATGATTTTGCTCCCCAGGCAACATTTGGAAATTTTTGCAGATGTTTTAGATTGTCATAATTGGAGGCCAAGGGAATGCCACCGGCCAGTGATGCTGCCCAACATCCTATAACAGATAAGACAACACACGCTGTCCGTCTGCCCAACTCTACACATAGAGCAGCATCTGGCCCCAAATGCCCAGAGAGGATCCTTCATTAGGGTTCATGGCATGTGAATATGAATCTCCTTCATGGACAATAAGGAGCCAAAAACTAATCTTTAGAAAGATTAGTATAGAGAACAGACTAGAATTTCCTCATTCATTTAACAAATACTTACACGCCAGGGTTTGTCTGGGAGCTAAGAGTGAACATTTCAACACTGATATGTTCTAGTGGAAGGGGCAGGCAAACACTGAAACTGACAAGGTTGCTTCCCTTATCAGTGTCCAGAATATAGATAAAATGCAGATCTGACTATAAAACTTAGCATAATTTTCAGAGGAGAAAATTCATATGTAAATTTTATAAAGTCACTATAGGTTATTTTCTGGTTGACTTGAATATCATTTCTTCTAAAATACAAATCCTTTCAAAGACAGTCTCGGCAACACAAATGAGATATTCTATTTCATTGTCATTTTTCCCCTGTGTGTTTCTGGTTTGCATATTATGTGCGACATGCTCACTATCGCAGGTTTGCTGAAATGATCACATCGCCTGACTGACAGCTTCGGCAGTGGCAGCAGCAACGTGAGGAGACATGATTAGCTGACACCCTCTGGGTGCAATACAGAACTAATCTCAGCATGGATGACATCTGACATTTTTTCTTACACAGATTTCCATAGGAAAAGATTTTTGCTTTTTGTCTGTCTGACACTTCTTAAAATTAGCTGGTTTAGTTAATTAGCTTGTTTGAGGTAGATTAGTTTCTTAATTTAAGAACTAATCCAGGAACAATTTGCTTAACATGATGATGTGAGGTGCAAGATGCTTAAAAACTTTTTAAAAAATATTTATTTTATTTTTATTGGAAAGTCAGAGAGGTGGAGAGACAGAGAGGAGGATCTTCTGTCCGATGATTCACTCCCCAGTTGACCACAATGGCTGGGGCTGGGCTGATCTAAAGCCAGGAACCCAGGGCCTCTTCCGGGTCTCCCACACAGGTGCAGGGTCCCAAGGCTTTGGGCCATCTTCAATTACTTTCCCAGGCCACAAGCAGGGAGCTGGATGGGAAGCGGGGCTGCCAGGATTAGAACCGGTGACCAGATGGAATCCTGGTGCATGCTAGGCGAGGACTTCAGCTGCCAAGCTACTGTGCTGGGCCAAAACACATTTTTTTTTTTAAAAGAAGAATTTTAGGTCTTCTCATGAAGCTATGTTCAACAGAAATCCTTCCTGTCCCACAGGACAGCAGCTGGGAGCGCTGGCCGGAAGCAGACTCTGCAACCCGGGGTCTTGGCGCACTCCCGATGCGGTTAGGCACTAGTTTGTTTTCACCGCAGAGCCTCTTTTCTCACTTGAGAATGGAGACAATAATAGTATTTGCCTTATTGGAGTGAATAACCAGTTCTAAATTCTGGCTCTGCTATGGATTAGCCCAATGACCTTGGAAAAATTAAGGAATACTTTATCTGTAAAATGAGGCTAAGAATTACCATCTCATAGGGTTAAAGTAAGAATGGGGAAACAAGAAAACAAATATGAGGGTAATTTAAAAGTTCATGGACTGGGCCTGGTGTGATGGCTCAATTGGCCCATCTTCCCCTTGCAAGACTGGCATCCCATTTAGGTGCCAGTTCACGTCCTGGGTACTTCACTTCCCAACCAATCCCTGCGATGGCCTGGGAAAGCAGTGGACTCAGGACCTGGGGACTCTGCGCCCACATAGGAGACCCAAAGAAGCTCCTGGCTTCAAATTTGTTCAGCTCAAGCCATTGTGGCTACTTGGGGAATGAACCAGCAGATGGAAGATCTTTCCGTCTCTGTTTCTCTCTGTAAACCTGCCTTTCCAATAAAACTTTTTTTTTAGTTCATGGACAAATGGAATCTAAAATTTTTAAATTATGCATTTTGATCATTTGCATTTTAATGAATTTCTTAGATATCTCTCAGATGCATATATTTCAGATGTTCTTTTCAGCAAAATAAACTTATCTTTTAACTAATTTTTCATGGACTTATGAAGTACCTATTTATGATGCAAACAGCACTGAGCCTCAAGTTCACAAATGCAGGAAAGGCCCTGAATGAGAACTCTGGATTTAGCTGCCATAACTGCAACTTAGAAGAAATATGAACTGTTAACTGGAGATACCCTTGAGAGTTGCTTGTCTAGCAAAAATTTGTTACTTCAAGTAGAAAGTGTTTGACAAATAAGTGTTCTAACACTGTGGCAGAAATCCTCCAATGTTTTCAGTTAAGCAGCAGCACAGAAAATAAGAATATTACAAAGCACTCATAGTAATTAATATGTGAGAGTTGATTACCCAGAACTTTAGTCAAAGTGAAGTTTTCCAAGGATATTTAAAATTCTCATTAGCACATCTCACCTAAATAGTAAATGACTTAAAAATCTCACTTAAAAAGCAACTTCAATTTTTTTTTTTTTTAGGTGAGAAAGAAGGCTTCTGGGTTCTGTTCTGTGCTTCAGCGACACATAGCTCAACTGTGAGATGTGGCATGGTCACTGAGATTACATGTAATTTTAATATAAGGGGCTACTTTTCATGATGTTAAAAATACACCATGGCACGTGTTTTCTCTCCTCTTGTAATCTTTATGAGTGAGATCAACATCCTGGGATTTGATCACTGTTTACAGCCTTTGTCTATATTCCAGAGGACTAAAAGGACTTTTTATTTTCTTTCCTTCCTTTTTTATTTACCTATCAAAGGATTAAAATTGTGATTACTAAGTGAAATGGAAAAATTGGTGTGGCGGGAGAGAAAGCAGAGAGGGTTGGGGTGGGAGGTGTCACTATGCTTCCAAATCTGTATCTGAAATACACAAAATTTATTCACTTCATGTTAACAAATAAAATTAATTTATATTTATATTTGCCCAAGGAAAACATAATCATGACATTTAAGATGCGATCAGGAACTAGCATTATGACGTAGCAGGTGAAGCTGCTGCCTGTGTTGTCAGTTCAAGTCTAGGCTGCTCCACATCCTATGTGACTCCCTGCTAACATGCCTGAGAAAGCAGTAGAGGATGGCTCAAATACCTGGGCCCCTGCCTGCTCTGTGGGGGACACCAATAAGCATACCAAACACTTGTGATCTCACATCACAAGAATGTGGGCGCATAAAAGCAGGGGCCTTGCCTGTTTCGTTCACTGTTGCTATCTTCAGTCCTGGATTCCGAGTGGCCTAAACGCATATTCTAAGTGAACAGCAGATGAGTTAGTAATGGATATGGAGGGGATCTCACAGTGTTTTCAGAAGCCCATTTACAGGAGAGCATGCACAGACGAGTGGGGTGAATGAATAATGCAGTTGTAAGAAACATGTTGCTTTTGACTCTGAGCTTGACCGGAGGATTTCTGGGAAGGAATTAGAACCAGATAATATACAACTTCAGAAGTCTATGAATTAGTACCTACTGTGACAGATGAAGGTGAGGAAAGGAGGTGGACACACAGTTTACCTGAAGTTGTTACAACGAATTAAAACCCCAGACAGCCACGCCCAGCCTGCCCATGAGGAGGAACCCCCAGAGAACAAGGTGGGGGGCATGACCAGGGCTCACAGAGGGACTTCACTGAAGTCTGCATCGGATCAGAAGCAGAGCTGCTAACACTCAGGTTGGCACTGCAGTATGGGATGTGGGCTTCAGAATGCCAGCTTCATCTCATGCACCACTAGGTCGACTCCCCCAAAACAGCACTGCTCAAGAAGAAAACATTATCTTGGCTCCAGAGCGGAATATACCTCCATAATATTAATGCTAAAAATAGCATAATATGGACTTACAAAAAGATAATAATGAGATGAAAAGAGCTGCAGATCTGTAATTCTCATAAGAAGTATAAATAATGTGTTAAATGAGTGGAAAAAGTTATAGCAATATATAAGTATTATTTAGACATATACAGGTAGAAATTAGAGATAAATGTAGAGACAAACCATCCTAACAGTTGAAAATTGTTTATTTGAGGAATAGATGAGAGAAGGTGAATTGCTGGGTTTGAACATTTTTCTTTGTTGCTTTTCAACATTATTTGATTTTACATTACGCATACCTTACACTTTGAAAACAACTGAGAAAATTTGAACCTGAATACATAAAACAATACTACGGTCAATATAATTCGGCAGGAAGTGTTTTGACGTGGAAATTAAAATGGAAAGCCAATGATTTCTTATGCTGTGACTTAAGCACCAACCACATAATGTGACGCTCAACCTCTTGATCTATCCATGAGTAGATTTTATTTCTTTTCTCTTTTTTAAAGATTTGTTTATTTATTACAAAGTCAGATATACAGAGAGGAAGATCTTCTGTCCACTGATTCACTCCCCAAGTAAGTGCAACTGCCTTTCTCAGGCCACAAGCAGGGAGCTGGATGGGAAGTGGAGCTGCCGGGATTAGAACCGGCGCCCATATAGGATCCCAGCGCGTTCAAGGCGAGGACTTTAGCCGCTAGGCCATGCTGCCAGGCCCATAGTAGATTTTATTTCTAAGAGCCTTTCCAATTCTACAGTTCTGATTCTATCACAATAAAGTATTATAGGAATAGCCAACAACAAACAACCGATTTTTCTTTATGTTCTCAGGCCATTTACCTTTGCATATTTTACCTTTGGATATTTTTATTCACTTTGCTAACGTCTCCCTATCCTTGACTCTTTGATGTTAAAACAGAACTAGCATGTCCCACTGCGGAATCTTATTGTACCTGTGAGGCTAGTCTTCGCATAGCCTCCTCCTGTCGTCTGCGCATTTCTGGAGTCCCTGGGCAGCTTCCACTGGTGATAGATGAGTGGGCCGAAGGTGGCTGTGTGAGTGGTAGCTCTCGGTTGGCATCCACATCTGGAGAAAAAGATGATATGGTTGCATCAGATCATCATAAAACTCTGAACTAAAGGAATATTTAATTCTATTATGATTTAGCAAATCCATCCCTGGGTAAATATTCAAGGAAATAAAAAACACATATCCACACAAACACTCATATACATATAACTTATGGAAAATTGATTCATAACAGCCTCAAAGTGGAAACAACTCAAATGTACATCCAGTGATAAAGGGATAAAATGTAGTATATTCATACATATTCATACAATGGACTACTACTACTCATGTGACAGTAAATAGAAATGAGATGATGTTATTTTATACAAAGTCAAAAAAGATTATATATTATGATTATTTCATGTGAAACAGAATAGGTGAACAGAGACGAATTAATGATTATCTTGGTAAAATGGGGAGAATGATGATTTACTACTAATAAGCATGATTTTTTTGGGAGTATGAGATCTTCTAAAATTAGAGTATGTTGAATATTCTACAACATTGAGAGAACACTGAAAATGCAGAACTTAACACTGTAATCAGTTATGGATTGTATATGGTATATAAATAACAGCTCAATAAGTTGTTAAAATTTGTTTTAAAAATTATTTTGTTACTAATTTAGGAATTTCATTACTTATTATCAGAAACTATGGACTTCATTTATGAATAACATTACACCTTAAAATGCCCCACGTCGGGGACCCTGGGGTGGGTGGGAGGCTGTGTGGGGCTTTTCCCTTTATCTCCCCCCTTACCCCAGGTACAGGAAAAAAAAAAGAGAGGAGAGAGAGAGAGAATGTGGAAACAATATCTTATCCACTTTCCTGTAGCCCTTGTCCCTTTGTGCCCTAATCAACTATGTAAGGATTATCAAAATAAAATGAGAACTTTCAAAAATGGTTACCAAAATAAAATTTGAAGTTGTTATTTAATTGTTGATAGCTATTGATAAAAATAAGGGATGAGGAAGGTAGTCCTCATTTAACTCCTCATCAACTTGAGTGGATCTGGAATTCCATTCAACTGGTAGAATAGATTCCTTGGTCACTTGACAGGATTCTGAGTAATTGCAGAGGAGTGGGTATAGGAGAGGACAGAGAAAAAGGCCTATGTTTATATTTTGATGTGAGGTAAAGTTTTGTGACCATTTCTGCATTATTTCTTCTGTTTATTCTATCCCTCCGGTTTCCTTCCCCTTTATCTGGCATTTGGTTTTGAGGGTAACTGCTGTAAACACTGGATCTTTCAGTAATTCCCTTTGGAGATGCCTTCCTTTTTGTTGGTGTGCCTTGCTTTCTTTGTGGGATTTTGAGAACAGGAAAAAAAAGTTACAGGTAGGCAGTAAACAGTGTGCACAGCAAACCAACAAAACAGACTTCTGAAAGGAGTAGAACAGGGAGGGTGGGGGGGATCGGCAGCTGTTGGCAAACGTCAAATCTAAATAACTGCACTGGGACTTTGGCAGATAAGAAAATAGTCTTGTGTTTGACAGAGCTTCCCTAACTATTGCACTGAGTCTACCTGTAGTCAAGATAATAACGTCTGACTTATACAACAGGTCCGTCTTCACAAAATGTTTTTGTTCTTTGGATGTGTGGGTGATGATGGTGGTGGTGGTGGTGGTGGTGGTGGAGAATAACGGGGGAGTCAGGTTGGGGAAGTAGGTGGAAAGCAGGATGACAGCCTAGTGATTGTCTTGACAGCTTTTCTGTACATTCCAGGGAAGTGACAAGGAGGGGGTGGGCTGGGGGCTGAGTGTGTGTGGGGGAAGGAAGGCAAGCAATGCACTAGCACAGGCTCAACTGCTCCTGTCTCCCGCAGCACGGGTGCTCACTGAGGAGGAGGCAAGGGCAGAAGAGCAAACGGCAGAGTACGCAGAGAAAACACCAGGGAGTTCCTTCTACTTCCAGTATTACGACAGCTAATCATTGGTATCACTGGCCAAGGAAGGATTAGAAAAGCCAGTGCAATTCCAAAAAAAACCTGTTCAAACTTAATATAAGTGAGATTTTATAAAAAAATTAAGTCATCCTTCTAAATACAGATATCATTTTATCTCATCAATGAAAAATAATTCTGTTGCTGCTAGTAACATTTTCAGTGGGAGCTCATATGGTAACAGCTTAGATTTGTCCCCCTCTTAAAAAAATAGCTTGTATTGCATCAGCCATTTATCCTTCACTCTTCTTTCAGGCCTATTGGTTCTGTTAAGATGGAAGAGCTCTAATGTAGTTAAAATTACATAATGTAATACAAGTTTCATGTAATTCTGATAGAGGAATACAAGGGGGTTCCAAAAAGTTCATGGAAAAATAAAATTGAAAGATAATGCACACTTGTTGGGAGCAGGGTTGGGTCCCATCTCTGCTTCTGATTCCAGCTTTCTGCTAATACAGACTGGGAAGTAGCTGGTAATGGCTCAGGGGAAGGTTCTGGGCACGCTTGCGGGAGGCTGGATTTCAGTTCCCAGCTTCTGGCCTCAGTCGGGGTCCGCTGCAGGCACCGGGGAGTCAATCAACAGATGGGAAAGAAATCCTTTTTTGGCTTCTCTCTTTCCAAAACAAACAAACAAACAAAACCAGAAAACCTCACCACCACTACTCAAAAAACAAAAATGCAAATTTTCCAAGAACCTTTAAAACCTTTTCATACTTCATCTCCTTTCACTCTTCAAGTTTTGAACGCTATCAGGCCAACTCTAGAGTGCCAACAACAGACAATCATCTCATCAATGGAGAGCGCTCTAGCATCCCCGGAGACTCTCAGGCTGTAAAAGGTAATGCATGCAAGACAATAATATAACAAACTTGAGATCTCTCCTTTAGGGAGTTAGCTTGGGCTGTTTTCTATTAACTCTTGCTCCTCCAGGCTTAAAAGAGACCTCCAGTCTCCTTGCATCCAGAGAAAGCAGCTCTTCCCACCCTTGCCATTATTTTCTGTTCAGGAATGATATTATCACTCTGTTATCTGCAACAGTGATAAACTGAGAAGCCAGAGAGACTAGCAGCTGTCTGCTTTTCTTTACACACACTCAGGTACTTCTTGGAGTACTTAAGTATTTTGCTGTGATAGCTTTCAAGTGTTCAAGGGAAAACAGTGGAATAAGTGCAGAAAATGATTTTCAACCAGGAAGACACACTTCGAGAATCAAAACTTCAAGCGTAGAAGCAATTCTTAAAGATCAACTAGTTAGACATCTTCATTTCACAGATGAGAAAACTGAGCTAGAAACGAATGCGGTAAAACTCTCAAAGTCACAAAGTACTGCAGATGTAATCTGACTGATGGGGCACGAATGCTAGGTTCTTGACTCCCACAAAACTATGTCAATCTGACTCAGAGCAACTTCATTTAGGAACGAAGCAAGATATTCCTTTAAGATAAGAATCCTTTCACATGAATTCTTACCATACCCTGGGGTAGACAGGGTTATTTTGATTTAACTGGTTTTCTTCTTAAATGTCAGTTTTCCTTCCTCATGTGAGACACCCCTGAGATTACCAGAGGCAATTTGCTTACTTAATGATGCAAGACTGGTAACTAATTTCAACAGGAAATCAACATGTTTGGGGGATACTTGGTGAGTTTCTGGTAAGTTTCTGTCACTGCTAGACTCAGCCACTACTATGATTTCAAACAAATGTCCACTGATTGTTGACTGAGAGTCTGTGTTGGCCAAGATTTGGATTAGCATAGCAATGGTTTCCTTTTTTGTATTTGTATAGTTAATAGAAATCAAGCATCCTGGTTCTATACACAAAGTGCATACGCCCATTTGTCTCCTTTGCTTGAGGGAGCATCAGAAACAAGGGGAGGCAGCACGGCAAAACGTTAGGGAATGGCCTTTGAACCAGACTGCTTGGTCTCACCATTTATCAGTTACAAAACCTGGAAGGCTTACCTAACCTCTTGGAGCCTCAGGTTACTTACCTGTGAAACGAAGGGACAAGGAACTACCCACCTCACTGAGTTATACATGGATTGGATAATTAACACGTGCAAGCACAGGGAGAGGGTCTAACACCCAGTAAGGGCTAAGCAATGCCTGAATACGCGTCAGAGTTCAGCATCTTTACAGGGAAGCAGCAGAGCCCTTCAAGGTCACAGTAAAGCTCAAGTCTCAGAAGTGCAGCACTGACGTCAGCAGCACAGGAGCGAAGGCAGCAAGCAGCCTGAGCTGGCATGGAACAGGAAGACATGGGCACAGGCTGAGCCCAGTCTGACAGTGACGGATGCCGATGGCTCCGAAGGCAATCGCTGTAGCCATTATCCACAGGACAGACCAGCCATACACACAGCGGGAAGGGTCAAAAACTTATTCCCCAGGAAAGGGTTTTCTCAGTCACACGCAGGTGACTGCTGGGCATGTGGCTTTGACATAAACAGAGGCCAGTGGTCTTCCCATGCAAGTCGGATTCTGCACATCAGAAAACAGAACACATAACCTAACACAAATATTAGAAAATACGTGTGAGACCGGGAAACAGAGAGCTCTTTAAAAAGGAATACGTACGTTTGGGGGAGGCGTGTGGGCTGTCTGAGGCGATCTGTCTCATGCGGGTCCCATGGCAGCTGAGCGCCACGAGTCTGGAGATGATAGCTGTTTTGCCAAAACCAATGTTCCCCACGATCACGACTCCCTGGTTCACGCTGGCATTCGAACTCTGAAGTTGAGCATCTATTTCATGGAAAACCCAATCCCGGCCAACAAACACGGACTCGGTGGTGATGCTGGGCACTTCAAAGAGCAGAGGCTTCAGGGAAATATCTGGAGGCCTATATGGTGCAAAGCGAACTGAAAGGAACAAGAGAACACAGAACTTACGTCAAGCTGCTAACATTGAGAGAAATAAAGAAAAAAACAAAAAAACCGGCGGTGTGGCTTGGGATGCCATCAGAATCACAGCGGGATGTCACTCTGGACTTGTCCACAGCAGTGTAACTCTGCTGGTTTTATGTAGATAACCTACTCACGTGAGCTAGACTCATGAGATGCTCTAAATGGCAGAATGCAAATACTAAAAACAAAACAAAACAACAAAAATCAGTGATTTATTCTCAAAAGCCAGAGAAGTCAGGGGAATGTTCTAAATCCGCACATATTTGGGATGACCCGGCACGAGCAATGAGCACAGGTGCAAGAGGAAAGTTCTAAAGGGATACGCAGGGGTGAAGATCCTTGGGGAGGGACAGGCTCAGTGCAGGGGTGGGGTTCCTCGGGGAGGGACAGGCTCAGCGCAGGGGTGGGGTTCCTCGGGGAGGGACAGGCTCAGGAGTGGTCTCCACACAGTTTATGATAGCTCCTTTGTCAATCAGAAAGGACTAATTTCAATATTTAGCAACTGCTATGGCTATACTAGCACAGGTCAACTGAAAACTCATCCAAATGAATGCAATGCAAAGTAAAGGCACCAATGAGAAGTGCAATTTAAATTTCTGATTTAAAAAATTCTAGTAAACACAAAAAACTGATGGTTTATATTTTCTTAAACATGTCAATCAATCAAGGGAACAGAAACCAACTCATCCAGTGTCTTGGCACCTATATTGCTTACATTCATATCAATGAAAATATTTTTGCTTATATTCACATTTACTTAAGATTCCCACTAGGCATGGTAGCCTAGTGGCTAAATCCTCGCCTTGCATCTGCCAGGATCCTATATGGGCACTGGTTTGTGTCCCAGCTGCTCCACTTCCCATCCAACTCCCTGTTTGTTGCCTGGGAAAGCAGCTGAGCATAGCCCAAAGCCTTGGGAACCTGCACCTGAGTGGGAGACCCAGATGAGGCTCTGGGTTCCTGGCTTCGGATCAGCTCAGTTCTGGCCATTGTAACCACTTGGGAAGTGAACCAGCAGATGAAAGGTCTTTCTGTCTTTCCTCTTTCTTTCTGTAAATCTGCCTTTCCAATAAAAATAAAGTAGATCTTTTAAAAAAAACATTTCCACTGGTTTTGTGGGGTATAGTTGTTAAGATGCCAATCCCAATGCCTGTGTTTCACCCCAGAGTCCCTGGGATTCAGTCTTGGCTCTCCGCTTCACACTCCAGCTTTCCGTGAGTACGCATCCTGGAAAGCAGCAGGTGACGGCTCAATTGCCTGGGTCTCTGCCACCCAGGAGCTCCTGAGCTTAGCCTGGCCTATGTTGCAGACATTTGGAGGACTGAACAACACTGGATGGGAATGCCTTCAGATAAATAAATAAAGGGTCTTTTTTCCCTTTGCTTCATATAATTACGAAGGATGCTAAGGGTCCGGCATGAGCTACACTTCCAACAGTTTTCTAAAAAATGTATCATAGATGTGATCTGCTTTCAGGGAAGATCAATCCGGCTTGGCTGCTCTTACCTGGGCTGTGCCCCCTTACCTATGTCTACATTACCTCTAAGTGGCAGTATTTAATCTGGCTGGAACCAGGTGTGTTATGTCTGTCCACAGATGGCCTTGACATACAGTGGGTGCTCAGAAAGTTACTAAAAAGTAACCCTAACCCTATTACATATGTCTAAGTACAAGAAACACCAGGAGCAGGAAGGCAATAGGGACAACAGAAAGAGAAACCGTACATGGAGCAAATGTGGTCTAATTATACTGCCTGTATCCTTAAACCACTTACACACAGTAAAATGGGATCTAGAGAGGGCAGCTTTCCTACTGAGAAAATACATGCATATGTGCACCAAACATGCACACACTGACTTAAAACTGCCTGAAAGCCATCAGAATTCTGAGCATTTAAAAATGATAAAAATGTTCCCAAAGGGCTGACTAGCCTAGGCTGCAGCAATCACCAGCATGAGCTGAAACTGGAGATGAGCCTGGCTGGGACAGGCCACAGCACCCACTGGCAAATGCCAAGGTGAGCTGGGACATGCCAGACTGGGCCACAGCAACTACAAGCTCATGTGAGACCCAGGAACGGAGGGTGATGTAAGCCTGGTAAGGAGCTTCAGGGGGCTCATCTGCTAGGCCACTTCCCCAGTGGTGAACCTGAGACCTGGGACTGCGGGCAGACCAGGCTGGAGAGGGCTACAATACCTGTTGACCTGCATGTGAATTGGGTTAGGGGGAGAGCCAGGCAGGGCTAACTGGCTGTATTCACTGGTGCATGCATGAGCCAGAGTTAAAGCAAGCTCATTGGGCTTTGCCGCAGCATCAGCTGGCAAGTCCTGTGATTGGAGGCAAATCCTGTCAAGCTAAAATGTAGAATCACCTGGAGAGTGCAGGATCTGGGCTTGGGAGTAGGCCCAGTAGGGAAACAGTGGCACCTCTCTGATGGGTGGTAGCAATCACTGGTGAGCATAAGAACCAGGGCTGGGGTGGGCCTGACTAGACAGGTGGTATTACCCACCAAAATGAGCATGGGCTGGACCGGTCTGTTGTACATACTGGCAAGCACAGGAACCAGGGCTGTGGGCAGGCCCAGTGGGGGTTATTGGATATTCCCGCCGTAGTTCCTGCTGGTATATGTGAGGGCTGCATGTGTGGTGGGTAGGGTTGGGCTGGGCTGTAGTATCTGTTGGTTTACCAAAGAGGCAGGGCTGGAGACATAACCAGCAATAACAACTACTAGTATGTGCATAGGCAGAATTAGGTGGCTGGAGCTGCACTGATCCAAAGCCAGGAGCCAGGAGCCTCCTCCAGGTCTCCCACACGGGTCCCAAGGCTTTGGGCTGTCCTTGACTGCTTTCCCAGGCCACGATGGATGGAAAATGGGGCTGCTGGGATTAGAACTGGTGCCCACATGGGATCCCAGGTGTGGCAAGGTGAGGATTTAGCCTTTAGGCCACTGGGCTGGGCCCAACAATCTGCTTTTTGCTTTCGTTTCTATGGATTTATCTATGTGGATATTTTATATACTACATGAGATGTTTTGCGTCTGCATTTTCTCACTAGGTTCTAAAGGTTCATACTGTAGCTTTTATCAGTACTTCGTTTCTATTTATTGCTGAATACCACATGTTTCTCCACTCACACACCCATGGACATTTGGGTTGTTTCTACCTTTTGGCTCTTGTGAACACTGTTGCTTTGAACATTTTTGTACATGTATCTGAACACCTGCTTTCAATTCTTCGGGGTATATACTTTAAATGAAATTACTAGGCCTTACCATAATTCTTTTTAACTTTTTGAGGAACCATCGAGCCGTGTTCCACAATAACTTTACTATTTTACATTTTTTTGCCAGCAATGTATGATAGTTTTTATTTCTCCACATCCTTGCCAAAACTTTTTTATTTTTTTAAAAATATTTTATTTATTTATTTGAAACCCAGCGTTATAGAGAGAAGAAGAAGGAAAAGAAGCAAGAGAAAGCCTGTCATATGGGTTCAGGGGCCATTTTTCTTTGCTTCCCCAGTTGCATTCGCAGGGAGCCGGACTGGAAACGGAGCAGCTGGGATTCCAATGGGCGTCCATACGGGGTATTAGCACTGCAGACAGTGGTTTAACTTGCCATGCTACAGTGCTGGTCCCTGTTTTTAATTGCAGCCATCCTACTGGGTGTGACATGTGACTTCATTGTGGGTTTGATCCGTTTTCCCCAGGGATTAGCGCTGAACATCTTCTCAAGTGCTAGTTGGCTGTCTGTACGTATTCATTAAAGAACTGCCTATTCAAGCCCCGTGGTCACTTTTTAACTAGGTTATTTTTTCTTGCTAAATTGAAGGAGGTTTTTCTACTTTCTGGATACAAATCAGAATATAATTTTCCAACATTTTCTCTCATTTTATAGGCTATCTTTTCACTTCCTCTAATGTGCAAAAGTTTTTGGTTCTGATTGAGTCCCATCTATCTGTTCTTCTTGCTTTTGGTGTCAAAAAGCCCGTGTTCTTATGGCTCAGGGTTTTAGCCTCTGTATTTAGGTAAAGGTGATTCATTTTGAACTGACTTTTGTATATGGTTTGATGCAGACTCCTACTTCATTCTTTTGCATGTAGTTATTCTAGCACTATTTATGAAGAAGGCTATTATTTTCCCATCGAATGGATCTGATACCCTTGGTTAAAAACAAGTGGCCAAGGAAGTATGGGTTTATTTATGTAGTTCCTATTGTATTACACTGTATATATGAGTATTTCTTTGGCAGTACCTTTTTTTATTATGGTGCTGTCTTGATTCTTACTCCTCTCTCTCTTTCCCTCTCTCTCTCTCAGAAGGATACTGACTATCTGTCAGCCTAACTGGCCCTACTATTCAGGGATAAGACTTAGACAAGTATTACCACAATCCCAGTCTGTAAAGTTAGAAAGGCTAGGATTGAAATGATGGTGAGGAGAGGGCTAATCCTAAATAATAGTACAGGAATGTTGTAACACAAATTACCCATAGTTTCCAATTTGTAAATGTATAAAATCTTTGCCTGCTATTCTTTGTGGAATCTGTTCACCCTAACCTGGAATCCCACATGCTAAGTGCACTAACAAACACTTCTGTTGTAAGAGCTTCCTTCATTCTTTAGGATGCCTCTTCAGCCTGGGGGAAGGAGGGATGATATGTTCTGCTTATACTCAGCAGTCTTACGCCACGATTTGAAGTTGGGAAGCCTGAGTCTGTCAATATTGTTGGTTTTTGAAGATTATTTTGACTATTCAGGACTTCTCATACTTTAAAAAATTTATCATTATTAAGTTTCTTTTTTTTTTTAAAATTATGATATAGTTCCATAGGCTCTGAGATGTTTTGTCCCTCTCCCAAAGTCCCTCCCTCCCTACTGATTTCCCCTCTAGTATTGCAATGGTTGGTCCTTCATGAACAGTCTTAATTCCATCACTCTACTATCGAAGTGTTTCCCG